ACTTGGATTAGCTTATAGTTAGGCAAAATGATCTAATGCAAAGCCCGTTTTATAATAAGGTGTTGAGGCTAGCAGGGTGGCTCAAGCCTGTAGTCCCAGCTACTCAGGAGGCCGAGGCAGGAGGATCACTTGAGGTCAGGAGTTTGAGGCCAGCCTGGGCAACATAGTGAGACCCCGTGTCAAAAACTAAATAAATAGGCTGGGTGTGGTAGCTCACACCTGTAATCCTAGCACTCTGGGAGGCTGAGGTGGGAGGATCACTTGAGCTCAAGAGTTCAAGACCAGCCTGAGCCAGAGTAAGACCCTGTCTCTACTAAAAATAGAAAAATTAGCCGGGCGTTATGTCGCTCACCTGTAGTCCCAGCTATTTGGGAGGCTGAGACAGGAGGATGGCTTGAGCCCAGGAGTTGGAGGTTGTAGTGAGCTATGATGACACCACTGCACTCTACCAAGGGGTGACAGAGACTCTGTCTCAATAAATAAATAAATAAATACGTGGTTAAATATCTCATGTAATTTGTTGAACACTGTACTGAAATTGAAAAACAGAATGGTTGTCTTGAGTACTTAAAGTGTGATTTGCGCTGAATGCGGATCACTTTCACTCCATGATAAATTCGAAAACTCGTCAGTCAGAGGCCATCTGCACTTGCAGGAGATCCCTGGAGTAGTCAAATTCAGAGACAGAAAGCAGCCGGGTGTTGCCGGGGGCGGGGGACGGGAAATGGGGAATCTGTGTTTCACGGGGACAGAGCTTCAGTTTTGCAAGATCAAGGAGTTCTGGAGATGGAGGCTGGTGACAGCTGTACAACGCGAGTGTAGTTCGTGTCACTGAGCTGTGCACTCGAAAATGGTCAAGATGGCAACGTTTATGTTGTGTGTTCCATCACGGTTTTTTTTTAAGTGGCAAAAAGAACCTTTCTCCCAATCCGAGACCAAGGAAGTCACTTGAGTGTGACCGCCGCAGCTAAAATTAGCCTGGAACTGAGAGCTGGCCATCTGAGTCCTTACACCTACACGGCACGTCAGGGCCGCCCTGTCCCGCCACTCATCCCCCCGCCGGCCAGTGGGGGGCCCAGAACAGGCTAGGAGGCTATTTTGGTACAATCTGTTTTCTCAGAAAATGAGATCTCAGAACATTCACGCTGGAAGGCAGGGAGCCGACTTATTGCCAACACCCACCAGGTGCTAGATAAACCCAAGCGGAGTCTATCCAGGCATTTTTCCAGAGCCGGCTTTTGTCGTCCCCACTCCAGACCTCATGTTGTGCCAAGGGCTTTCTAGCTAACTCCTCCTCGCCGCCCTGAGAGGAAACTGAGGCACAAATAGGAGCAGTTACTTGCTCAACGCCACACATCTCAGGGGTGAAAAGCCAGGATTTGAACGAATTTGGGAAACCTCAGAGGCTGGCCTCTATTTTCTTCTTTTTCCTTTTCTTTTTAGATTAAACTAGAGCGTAAGCACACAATTCTGCAAGTTCTGACAAACACATACAGTTGTGTAACTACAGCCACAATCAAAATACAGAACAGGGCCAGGTGCGGTGGCTCACGCCTGTAATCCTAGCACTCAGGGAGGCTGAGGCGGGAGGATCATTTGAGGCTAGGAGTTGGAGACCAGCCTTGGCAAGAGTGAGACCCAGTCTCCACGAAGAATAGAAAAATTAGCTGGGTGTGGTGGCGCATGCCTGTAGTCCCAGCTACTCGGGAGGCTGAGGCAGGAGGATCGCTTGAGCCCAGGAGTTCGAGGCTGCAGTGAGCTGTGATGATGCCCCTGCACTCTACCCAGGCAACAGAGCGAGGCCTTGTCTCAAGGGGGAAAAGAAGCTATGTTTGCTAGGGCTGCCATAACAAAATACCGCCCCCCCACCCAGATTAGGGGGCTTAAATAACAGAATTTTTTTTTTCACAGTTCTTGAGGCTGGAAGTCTGAGATCAAGGTGTTTGCAGGTTTCGTTTCTTCTGAGGTCTCCGTACTCGGCCAGCAGATGGCCTCCTTCTCCCTGTGTTGTCCCATGGTCTTCCCTCCGTGCACGTCGCATGTCGTACCCTAATCTCTTCTTATATGGATACCGCTGACGTCTTTATAAGTGCCCGCCCTAAAGACCTCATTTTAACTTAATTACCCCTTTAAAGACTTTATCTCCTGTCTTAGTCCCTTCGTACTTCTTACAAACAACAGAAATTTATTTCTCACAGTTCTGGAGGCTGGGACGTCCAAGATCAAGGTGCTGGCACATTGAGCATCTAGTGAACGTTCTGGTTCACAGACAGCATCTTCTCCCTGTATCCTCACGTGGTAGCTGGAGCTCAAGTTTTCTCTGGGGCCTCTTGAAAGGGCACTAAATGCATCACGGGGGTTCCACCCTCATAACCGCATCACCTCCCAATGGCCCCACCCCTGACACCATCACCTTGGACATTAGGACTTCAACATATGAATTTGAAGAAACACAATTCAGTTCTTCACAGATATGCAGCGGCATTTTGTTGTGGTTTTAAGGTGCAATTCATGTGATGCTTGCCATTCCTATCTTTTCTTTGGTGATGTGTCTGTTCAAATCTTCTGCCCATTTTTGTTTTATTTGAGACAGGGTCTCGTTATGTTGTGCTGCAGGCTGGACACGAACTCCTGGCCTCAAGCGATCCTCCCGCCTCAGCCTCCAGAGTAGCTGGGACGACAGGCGCGCACCATCATACTTGGCTTCTTCTGTCCAATTTTTTATGAATTTATTATTGTTATTGAAGGTTTTCTTTTTACAACTCCACTGAGATATAACATACAAGGAACTGCGAATATTTAAAATGTACAATTTGATAAGTTCCGACGTGTGTATGGACCCATGAAATCAGCGCCACGGTCAAGATCGTCAACAGATCCATCGCCCCGTTTCTCATGCCTCTTCCAAATTCCTTCCACCTGCCCCTTCCCGGCCCCCTTTCTCGAAGCACCCACTGATCAGATTTCTGTTGCTACAAATTAATTTGTGTTTTCTAGAATTTTAAATTTTTATTCTTTTTTTTTTTTTTTTTTTTTGAGACAGAGTCTCACTCTGTTGCCCTGGGTAGAGTGCAGTGGCATCGTCATAGGTCACTGCAGCCTCAAACTCCTGGGCTCAAGTGATCCTCCCGCCTCAGCCTCGCGAGTAGCTGGGACTACAGGCATGTACTGCCATGCCCAGCTCATTGTTCTATTTTTAGTAGAGACGGCGTCTCGCTCTTGCTCAGGCTGGTCTTGAACTCCTGACCTCAAGCGATCCTCCCTCTTTGGCTTCCCAAAGTGCTGAGATTACAGGTGTGAGCCACCATGCCCGGCCTTAATATTCTGGACACAGCCCCTTCATCAGATGCGTGATTGGCAAAGATTTTCTCCCAGCAGTGGTTCGTCTTTCATTCTCTTAACAAGGTCCTGCACGCGACTCCCAGTTGCAAATTCCAACTGCCCTGACTCATCCTCCCACTGGCCCTTGACGGACAGTGATAAGCATCACCGCCCCTGGCCTTTTTCCCAAGGAGCAAACAGTCTCAGAGAAGGGAGGAGCCACTCAGCCTGTTGGTGGCAGAGCAAGGATTCGAACCCAGGCCTGCTTGACCTCAAATCCCGCAGACCTCACCCACTGCCGCCATCTCCGCCAGCGATCGGGGCTGCCACAACCACCATTCCTTTGGAAACCCTGAGCATCTCGGAGGACACAGACCCCGCAATGTCCGTATATCGTGAAGCCAAAAGCCTAAGAATGAGTAAGACAAGCCGTCAGGGTTCAGTCCCAACAGATTTATTGGCTGACGCCTCACGCCAAGCTTTGATGGACATGCAAGAGGATGAAATCGGGGGCCTTACCACCTCAGGACCCACCCAGCTCCCAGGCATCACTGGAACAAGGCACTTTCTCAACAGCTAGGCAACACCTGGGACCCCAACCTCACCTGAGACTGGCCATGCCCACCACATCCACCTTCTCGATGTCCTGGTGACCAAGGCTGAGATAAGGGTGGCCAGGAGGGACCCTTCAGCCATCATCCCCCTCACTTACCCCAAAGCAAGTTCCTGCCCTGCCCAGCAGCAGCACAAGGCTCAGCACAGAGCAGGTAGGTATCAGTATGTTTGTTGAATGACTGAATGAGCAACTATGGACTTCCAACATGAGGGAGGACTAATACTTTCAGATCCCAACGTGAGTGCGTGGAGCCCCTTGATGAAGCTGGTTGTTGGAAACCTGCCCAGCTGGCTGCATTTCTTTGGTTTAAGGGGAGCCTGAAGGCAACGGATCAGAACAAGCCTTACGCACTGTGATCTCTCTAGCCTGCCCCAGATGTGTCTACCGAGGGCTTCCTTTGTGCCGGGTAACTTGAGAGGTTCTCTGATCCACAAACACAAATGATCTAATGTGCAAAGCCATGTTCGATTGTAATTTACAGCCGTCTTGGCCTCCCCTCCTGACTGCACGGTGTTTATGAACTTGTAAACTTTTCCACGTCCAGCCTCACACCAGCCCTTCCATACGGAGCAGGGCAGAGGGTCTCTGCTATATGGATGGGAAACAGGAAGCTCAGAGTGGGAGGTCACCTGCCCAGGGACGTCCTGCAGGAGTGGGAACTTTCTGGGCACGGGAGAAAGTCCAGCCACTGGGGGTAAGAAGAGACTTGAAAACCACAGCCCCAACCTCACAGCAAGTACTTAGGAAATGTCCATCAGATGAATGAGTCTCAACGTGGCCTCAGAGTCTTTCGGAGTCAAGGTGCAATTTTAGAGAAGGAAAAATAGAACCAAGAATCTAACGTCTGGGGTTTCTGGCTGGAGCTGCTGCTGGGATTCCGTTGGCTGCCCCCCACCCCCCAAAGGCCGTGACTCTATGGGGGCCTGGGAGAGAGAGCGGGACCCTCCGTTAACCCCCACATCAGTCCTGGTGGGTGGCTGATGGCCCCAACTCACGGATGGGGACATCAAGGCCAGGAAAGGATACATCTGAGCCCAGGACACCTCCCGGTTCAGAGGGTCCTGGGTCGGGGTCCTCTCCCCAGTGCCCCTCAGGCCAGCCCTTAATCCGCCTTCTTGGTCTTCTTCTTCCTGGAGCCCTCGCTTAGCTCCTCCTTGGACTTGGCAGGCACGGCCGAATGCTGGGCACCCGGCCCACCACCGCCGTGGGAACCGCCGTGGGACCCTCCGTGGTTGTTATGGTGATGGTCACCCCCCCAGGCCGCCCCAAACAGCACGGGGCAGATGTAGCCCTCCAGGGCATCAAAAGGGGAGCTGTGAGAGTGAGTGGCTGTCAGGAACACCTGAGGTGGGGTGACAGCAAGGCGGACAGCAAGAGAGCAGGAGGGAAACCGAGGCAGGAAGCAAAGCAGGAGGCAGAAGGGAGAGAAGAAGGAGAGAATGTCAGGGAAGCCCAGCCTTCTGGTTGCATGCACCCCTAGGAGGACAACCAGCCACCCCAGGTTCCCCAGGACATGGGACTCCTGGTGTTGGAGCCTGGATAGTCTCTGGCATAGTGGGACTGTTGGTCACCCACCTGCTATGAATCCCCCAACACACCTGGGCTCAGAGAGGAGCTGTGCAAAGTGCTACAGTCTGAATGCCTGTGTCCCCCAGAATTCACATAGTGAGACCTAACGACCAAGGCGATGGTATTAGGTGAGGCCCCTGTGGGGGTGGTTAGGTCATGAGGGTGGGGCCCTTGTGGATGGAATTCGTGCCCTTACAAAAGGGGCCTGGGAGAGCTAGCCAGTCCCTTCCACGTGAGGACACGGTGAGACGTCAACCGCCTGCAACCAGGAAGAGGGCCCTGCCCAGCACCTGACCACACTGGCACCCTGATTTTGGGCTTCCCAGCCCCCAGAACCCCAAGAAATAAATTTCTGTTGTTTACAAGCTGCCCAGTCTATAGCCTATAGTATTCTGTTAGAGCAGCCTGAATAGATTCAGACACTTGGCCAGGGGTTGAACTGCAAGCAGGTGGAGCAGGACCCAGCTGTCTCCTCCCCTCTTGCTTCTCCCCTAATGCTGGGGGACTCGTGATCACCAGATTTTTTTCTTTCTTTTTTTTTTTTTAAGACAGAATCTCACTCTGTCACCCTGAGTAGAGTGCAGTGGCATCAGCCTAGCTCACAGTAACCTCAACCTCCTGGGCTCAAGCCATCCTCCGGCCTCAGCCTCCTAAGTAGCTGGGACTACAGGTGTGCACCACTACGCCCAGCTAATTTTTCTATTTTTATAATAGTAGAGATGGGTCTCGCTCTTGCTCAGGCTGGTCTTAAACTCCTGGCCCCAAGTGATCCTCCTGCCTTGGCCTCCCAGAGTGCTAGGATTAGAGGTGTGAGCCACTGCACGTGGCCAAATCACTGGCTTTTAACAGCTCTATAATCCCCACCCAGGGAAGACACAGCCCTGAGCTGGGGCCTGCACGCTGAGGGGAGCTAGCAACAGAGCTCCCCAGCTCTGCCAGAGGGAGGACAGGGTGGCCTCTAAAGACCCCTCCTGGGTGGGGTGACCCCAACTCAAGGTATGACCATCAGACGAGGACCATTCCTGGTACACTTGAGCCCCTAGCTACTGGAGAGTGCCTTCCCAGCCTCTGTCCCTGTGGTCTCCACACTCAAGGCACCAGGCCCGCCTCACCCTTTGCTCACGCTGGGCCATTTGTATAGAAGGCCTGGTCCCCAGCTGCTGGACACCGTCTATTAAAGACTCTCCTGCCACGGACCTACTGGCAAGCTTCTCCCCTCTCTGGGCTGTACTGTCCTGGCCACGTAAGGCTAGGAGTGTCCAGTGTCCCCGCTCCCAGCCTGAAGGTGTGGGGTGGCACCGGTCAAGGCAGGAAGGCCACAGGCAGAGAAAGGCTTACCTTACAGGACACCATGAACATGGTGAAGATGAAGATGAGAGTGGCTTTGGACACCGGGAGCCAGCGGGTCTGCTGGAGGGTGAAGAGTATGGCTCCGTACAGGCTGGCCTTGGTGGGGCTGGAGGGAGGAGCCGCCGTTACTGGGAGTCACGTGCTTTGCTCAGGTCTCTGTACCTCTGGCCCAGACACACGCCTGCCCCAGCCCCAGTTCCCGAGTGTGAGGTGCAAAGATGCGCGGTTGGCGTGGATGACGTGGTATCTCCCTGTGCGGTGACAGGTTAACCTGACCCAAAGAAAGGTCTGGTCTTTGCCCGGCTCCTGGGACATACCCTCTAAGTATTTGGATTGTCCTGCCCGATAAGAGTGTCTTTGTTTGCCTGGGGGGGCCTTGGGTCACACCAGAGAATAACAATGTAATTTATGGTGGGGGTCTTGGGCCATGCACCATGAACTTGACCTCTAGCGGGGCTGGAGACTGAGGTCGGCCACAAAGGCGGTCATCCCTGTCTATGCCATGGAGTCTCAACAAAAACCCTGGCCCTCGAGGCTCAGGGGAGCTTCCCTGGCGGGCAGCACACCACGCGTGTTGTCACACGCCGCTGCTGGGGGAGTTCAGTGCTGTCCCTATGACTCCACGGGGAGAAGATAATCGGATTTCTCACCTGGTCCCTCCTGGCCCCTGCCACACACACCTTTTATCCCTGCTGATTCTAATCTGTGTTCTTTTGCTATAATAAACCACAACCCTGAGTATAACGGCTTTGCTGAGTTCTGTGCGTCCTTCTAGCAAATCATGGGACCTCAAGGTGGCCTCGGGAAGCCCCCCTCAAACAGCTCACTTCCCCCGAAAATGTGATTCCAACACGGAGAGCTTTCCTTCACTTTCCTTTTTTTCCTTGTGGAACAGGTTTACCGTTTTCACTTGTCACAAAAGGCAGACCTGTGATTTCTCTTCCTGACGCCTGTTGCTCTTGCACATATTTAGTGATGGTAATTCTACCTAATATTTCCAAAGCGCTCGCTAGGGCCAGATGTGTGACTCCCCTGAACCCTCATGCTCAGCTGATGAGGAGGAAATAGAGTCCAAGAGGGGAAGCCACTTTCCTGCTAAGTACCCAGCAATGTAAGGGCTCTGGGCTCCCATTTCCCCAGCTGGTGAACTGAGCGTGGGAACAGACTTCTCTTGCGGATGTGACTAGATAACGCCACATTTTCCGAAGTGTGAAATGAGAGGAGATTTTCATTAGTACACGAGTGAGTCCTTTAATTTTGTCATATTTTCATGGCTTGTAGCTTTACTTATTGTAGACTGGAGAAAAAATTTAACTAGCCCAAACTTATAAAGTCTCTTAAATATGTATTAGGCCTTGATCTTGGACTTCTAATTTCAAAAACCCAAAATGTATTAGCCTAAATGCAGCTTGGGATCCTGCGCTGGGTCTTGGACGCTGTCGTATGGCCCTGCCCACTTAGTCCCAAATACACTCCCCACGCTCTGTACCTCTCACTCCCCGCCCACACCCCGTACCCTGACCCCGTAGAACAAGCAGTATTGCTGCTCTTTTCTTCCTTTTTAAAAAAATTGTCATTATTATTATTATTTTAGGTGAACAATCTTTACAAAATTGCTGCTCTTTCCTGATCTGACAGTTGGCAGAGGTGCCGGCCTCTGTCTGAAGTTTCCTTCTTAGCCAGAAAATTCCTATTCACTCTTCAAAACCCCAATCAAGTGGTCACCTCCTCCCTGCAGCTCTGCCTTCCCCACCCTCCACAACCCCACCCTCAGGCTCCTACTCTGGGCTTCCCCAGCCATAGCCTCTGGAAGCTTCTGAAAGCCTCAGAATCAGGGCTGGAGGCTTCTTTAAGTCATCAGCAGTATTCAACCCAGGGTCAGGCATCTCTACATATAAGAGGGACAGAAGAGAAGGGTGGGTGGGATACTCACAAGGACATGTGAAGGAGCTCATTGGTCTCTGGCTTCCAGACCCCTCGGAGCAGCTGCTCGAAGTTGGACATGAGGGCAACGCCAGAGCCTACAGGACAGGGTGCTTCTGAACAAGCCCGCCCCCGCCCTCCAGGTCCCCACCCCCCAGTGGTTTTTAGCACCTGCTCAGGCCTTCATTCCCTGCCTTTGTGTTAGTCCTGGGCCCATTTCGCAATCATTAATCATTGTCTCTTTCTCCCTTAACTTCAGCTTTACACATTTGAGTGCTATGTTTCTAGGTACATATATGTTTATAATTATTACATCTTTCTGGCGGGTTGATCCTTATATCATTATAAAATGTCCCTGTTTATTTCTGGTAACATTTTTGTTTTGTTTTGTTTTAAAGTCTACCTTGGTCTGCCCATTAGCACAGATGAAGGGGACAAAAAACAAGGACAATTTTTGAATCAGGGATCTTAACCCAGGGTCCACGGAGCCAGACAGGAAGCAGAATTACAACTTCATTTTCACATCACTCTCCCTGAAACCCAACCTTCCCTTCCCCCACAAAGGGAGGCAACGGTCTCAGCAGGATTCTCAAGGCTGTCACTGTCACCAACGGAACCCACAGCCTTTTTTTTTTCACTTTTCAGTTTCTGCAGATGGTTTCAAGATACTGTTTGTGCTCAATGTCACTTCAGAAGATTGACAGTCACTAGGCACTGCTGAAAGATCTGCCATTTCGTGCATTAAGAAAGAAGCATGAACTCACTGCATTGCATTTAAAAAAATATTTTGATAACTCTATTTTAAAATAATAGGCTTCCCTTTGGTATCCTTTGTATTTTTGCATCTAAAAATGAAAGGGTCTGTAGGCTTTGCTAGGCTGAGACGCGCCTTGTGTGCAGAGGTTAAGAACCTTGTAGTTAGAGCTCTAGAAGAGAGGTGCTCCCCTGGAACAATGCTGCTCTCCAGGAGCCATCTGGAAACATCGGGAGACATTTCTGGTTGTCACAGCTGGGGACAAGGGTGCTACTAGCATCTGGTGGGTGGAGGCCAGAGATGCTGCTCAGCACCCCACGATACACAGGACGGCCCCACCACAGAGAATGATCCAGCCCCAGATGTCAGTAGTGCCCCAGCTGAGAACTCCAGCGACACTGGCTTTTGTTATTGTCATTGCCCTGTTTACCCTCGGCAGTCACATTTCCAGAAGAATCTTCCTATTTACACTAAAGTGGTTTTTTTGTTTGTTTGTTAGTTAGTTTGTTTTGAGATAGGGTCTCGCTCTGTCACCCAGGGCTAGAGTGCAGTGGCACCATCATAGCTCACTGTAGCCGCCAACTCGTGGGCTCAAGTGATCCTCCTGCCTCAGTGGCCCGAGTAGCTGGGACTATAGGCACACACCAGCATGCTTGGCTAATTTTTTCTAATTTTTGTAGAGATGGAGTCTGGCTATGTTGCCCAGGTTGGTCTTGAACTCCTGGGCTCAAGTGATTCTCCTGCCTCAGCTTCCGAAGTGCTGGGATTACAGATGTGAGCCACCACGTCCAGCCTACTAAAGGTATCTTCTAATGGGGGAGGTTTGGACACCTACTGTGGTCTTCACACCCCTGAGCCTGGAGCGACGGCTGCCCCAACTTAGGTGCCCCGTAGTACCACCAGTAGAACCAAAAGTTCTCAACTGTGGTGACCTTTCATGGTCATCGTCACTGTCCTATTTACCTTTGACCCACCCTGTGGCGATCATGACGAACCACCCGTGGTGGTAGTGGTGATGTGCGTGGTGGATGCCCACTGCGATCTTGCGGACTCTCACCACCTCCTTCATGGCCACGAAGATGAGTTTGACGGGCAGGAAGCAGACACACTTATAGAAGAGATCCAGGGGGCAGAAGAAAATCAAGTACCTTTGGGGAGAGAACGTTGAATGTCAGGGGAGGGGCAGGCCGACAGGAGGCGGGGTGCGTGATTGTATCAGAGCCTTCCCTGCCGACCCCGCTGCCCCGCAACATGCGGGGCCCAGATCAGAGTTGGGTGTGGAGGGCAGCGTGTTCAGGGCCACCATAGAGGTTGTTCTGGGGCGTCCGGATCCTCCACCCTCCATCCTCCCGCCTCCCGCCTCCCTGGTGGCCCAGCTGTCCCTCCCCCGCCCTGGGCTCTGCTCCCCTGCACTAGGCATTGCCTACCAGACCGCCGAGGCCAGCAAGATGCTGGAGCTGTTGCTGAAGTAGTCGATCAGGGGCTCCCCGAGGAGCAGGTCGGCCAGGATGTAGCTCCCAAAACAGTGCAGCATGGCGCACAGCCAGGACGCCAGGGGGTGGCGCCGGGACAGCTCGACTGCTCCTGGGAGGTACGGGAGTGTGCCCTACTGTCACCAGCATACCAAGGGTATGCTTCTACCCCATGCCTTCCGGTCAACCTACCCTTGATTCAGAGCACCCCCCCAAAACCGGTGCAGTTTGCAAATTTCGGAGGAAGAAGCAAGGATCAGAGAGGCTGCGCATATGCCTTAGGTTGCACAGAGAAAATTCAGAGCTGAATTAGGGCTCTTTCCTCCACACCCAGAGAAGTGGCGATGATGATGACGCCAGCTCCCATTAAGGACTCCTTAAATTCTCATCAGTAGCGCCAGCCAAGCTATGACTTTTATTATCATAGGACTCTTACCCTCCTGGGGGAGGCTGAGGCTTGGAGAGATGGGTCAACTTACAGCTGGGAACACTTTGAAGCTGCTTTACTCCCACCCTGGCTAATAACCAAGATTCCTACAAGCTTATGCTGGTATTTTTAAGCTCTACATTGGTTTTTTTTTTGAGACGGAGTCTTGTTATGTTTCCCAGACTGTACTTGAGCTCCTGGGATCACACGATCCTTCTCCATCAGCCTCCCGAGTAGCTGGGACTACAGGTGTGTGCCACTGCGCCAGGCTGTCTTTTAGAAACATATTTTTTTAACTGTGGTAAAATATACATAAAATTTACCATGTTCACCATTTTTAAGCGTACAGTTCCATGGTATTAAGAACATTCACGCTGTTGTGCAACCATCACCAGCAGCCATCTCCGGAACGGTTTCACCTTCCCAAACTGAAACTCTGTCCCCATTAAACACGAACTCCCCAGCCCAGGCCCTGCCAACCGCCGTTCTACTTTCTATCTTTATGAATTTGATGACTCCTGGGACTTCATGTAAGTGGAATAATACAGTATTTGTTGTTTTGTGATGGACTTATTTCATATAGCATTAATCTCCTCAAGATTCATGTATTAAGGTTTCATTTCATGGCCAGGCACAGTAGCTAATTCCTATAATCCTAGCACTTTGGGAGGCTAGGAGTTCAAGACCAGCCTGAGCAAGAGTGAGACCCCGTCTCTACAAAAAAATAGAAAAATTAGCCAGGCATGGTGGCAAGTGCCTGTAATAGTCCCAGCTACTCGGGAGGCTAAGGCAGGAGGATCGCTTGAGCCCAGGAGTTCGAGGCTGCAGTAAGCTATGATTGGGCCACTGCACTGCAGCCACCTGGGGTAACAGAGTGAGATCTTATTTCTACTAACTAACTAACTAAATAAATAAATATCAAAATGAAAAAAACATAGAGAAAATGTAGCTTAGTTCAGTTCTGTGACTAAGGATACACACTAATAAATGATACTAAATTCAACTCTTCTTATAAGCCCAAGGCAACACAGTACAGAAGAATGGCCTTGCTTAGTGAACAGAAATAAGGAGCTCATGTCTTAAGAAGATGGCCCAGTGCATCGGTCTCCAACTAGGCTGCACACCGTCACTGCCTGGGGAGTTTCCAAATGCCCGACACCCGGGCCCCATCCCAGAGCACCTTAGGTGGTCAGTCTGGGGTGTGTCTGGGCTCATGGGTTTTTAAAAATGCTCCTCTGTGATTCTTACATGCAGCATAGTCGAGCACCAAACAAAGCAAGAGGAATGAGCTGGCCGGTGTCCGGACATCCTGTAGCCCTGCTATCCTATGCGCAAGAACCCACTAATGGGTTCTGGAAGACTCTTCAAAGTACACGGTCAAAGCAGCATTATTCACAACCCGCAGAAGATGGAAACCACCCAAATGCCCACGCACAGAGAAGTGGATGAACAACACGTGGTCCATCCATACAATGGGACACTATCGAGGCATGAAAAGGAGCGAAGCGCTCACACGTCTACTGCGTAGACGCACCTGGAAGACATTATGCCGAGGGAGGGACGCCTGACATGAAAGGTCACATATTGAATGATTCCACTTATATAAAATACTTGGAATAGGGAAATCCATAGAGACGGAAAGCAGATTAGTGGTTGCCAAGCGCTGGGGAACGAGGGGTGTGACTGCTTAACTGGTATGGGGTCACCTTTTGGGCTGATGAAAGTGTTCGGAGACTTACATACTTCATGCAGGTGGAATCATACAGTGTGTGCCTTTTGTGCCTGGCTTCTTTTACTTAGCACGGTGTTTTCACGGGTGACATTCGCTTTCACTGCTGTATAGTACCCTACCACAGGGACAGATCACAATTTATGCATCTGTTCTCTTCCATACACTACATTTCATCGGCAGGAAACATGCCCAATACAAGCTGTTTTAGAGTAAGTAACACACTCTCCCTTCTCTTTGCTACCCCCATCAGCTAACAGTGTGATTTTTTTTTTTTTTTTTTTTTGAGACAGAGTCTCACTCTGTCACCCGGGGTAAAGTGCAGTGGCGTCAGCCTAGCTCACAGCAACCTCATACTCCTGGGCTCAAGCGATTCTCCTGCCACATCCTCCTGAGTAGGTGGGACTACAGACACGTGTCATGACACCCAGCTAATTTTTCTATTTTTAGTATAGGCAGGGGTCTCACTCTTGCTCAGGCTGGATTTGAACTCCTGACCTCAAGTGATCCTCTCACCTCGGCCTCCCAGAGTGCTAGGATTACAGACGTGAGCCACCACGCCTGGCCTAACCACATGATCATGAACAAACTATTTTTTCTGTGTCTCTTTCTGTTTGTCAAGTGGGAACTCTGATTCCTTCTTTGCCTGACTCCTGACAAAGTGGTAGAATGAAAATTTCCCTCCTCCAATCTCACCCTGGGAGTTATAAGGCCAAAGTGCATCTTCTCTCTGCGCTCGAGGTTGTCCTAAGTCTCAACACGGACCGAGGTCATAGGGGTATGAAGTGAAATGCTCTCATGTCTTCTCTAGGGACTATTTAAAACACAGCCGGCTGAGAGCTGATCCTTTGGAGCAGCTGGTGGGTCCTGCAGGGGCCAGGTCAGGTGAGACCTCCATGTTTTGCAGAAATGGATACCTCTGCATCTAAAAATAACTCCCAGGGGTGGAATTCTTTCCACCGTCTTTCTTGTGCCCTCTGGGACCAACCCAAGGGACCAAGGCTTGGGAGTGGGGGCCTGGGGTTTGTGTGATGCCCTGACAAGCAGGCTGTCGTGTTTGCAGCATCGGTGTGTCCTGGTTCCGGCTCTGCCACTCACTCTGGCATGGCCTTGGGCAAATGACTGTCCACCCTCCAGCCTCAGTTTCCTCCACTGTCAAAAGACTAGGATGAGAGTATCCATCGTCACTGAGCTGTAATGATGATTCAATGAAATCATGCATTTCCATCATTATACTTCTTTTTTTTTTAGACAAGCTCTCGCTCTGTCACCCAGGCTGGAGTGCAGTGGCGTCACCATAGCTCACTGCTGCCTCGAGCTCCCGGGCTCAAGTGATCTGCCTGCCCCAAGGCAGCAAGGTGATAGCTGAGAAACTGTCACCCTGGCTCTTCCCCTTGGTCAAACTTCTTCTTGGTTTCGCTTGCTGGGTTCAGGGACACCACCAGGAAGCCGGAGAATCTGGGTTTCAAACTCAAGCTCATTGCCACGGATGCATTTCCCTCTTCCCCTCCCACTGGGTGAGCTTGAGCTAGTTACTTCCCTCTCCCGGCCTCAGTTTGTTCGCGTGTACACAGGGCATGCTGTCTAGGATGACCAACTATCCTGCTTTGCCTGGGCCCTGGGCGTTTCCTGGGGTATGGGACTTTTGGTGCTTGTCTTTGGCAAACCTGGCCAAGGTGGTCACCCAGTGCTATGTCATCTCAAAAGATGCCTGTGAGGGGAAAGAGATTGCTTAGTGCTTAGCAATTACGCGAGAGGTATTCCTGGAACTGAACGGAAATGGAAAGTACCTGTGGGTGGAAATTTCAGTAGATGGATTTTTTTTTTTTTTTTGAGACAGGGTCTTGCTCTGTCACCTGGGCTAGAGTGCAGTGGCATCATTGTACCTCACTGCAGCCACAAACTCCTGGGCTCAAGCGATCCTCCTACCTCAGCCTCCCAAGTAGCTGGGACTACAGGCGTGTGCCATGAGACCTGGCTAATTTATCTATTTTTGGTAGAGATGGGGTCTTGCTATGTTGCCCAGGCTAGTCTCAAACTCCTAGGCTCAAGCGATCCTCCCACCTTGGCCTCCCGAGTAACTGGGACTACAGGTGTGAGCCACCCTGCCCAGCAATAGATGGATTTTTAAAAATCAGCTGTGCCTCCCTAGGGAAGCAGCCTTGGGTCCCTAAGTCCTGGCCTGTGACAGACTCTGTGACTGTCCCTCTCTGGGGATCAGTGTCTCATTTGGAGCTGGCAGGGCAGTGCCAGGAGGGCCCCTAAGGCACTCTAACACTGCTGCTGCTCTGTGCTATTTAGTCTAAGGTGGGTGAGGTGTGGTGTATTGACCAAGTATCTCAGGGACTCTAAGACAAGTCTTCTTTTCCTAAGCCTTTGAGCTCAGCTTTCTGCCTCAGTTTCCTCCTCTGTAAAACGGAGATGAGATGACAGCCCCTGCCTCACAAGGTTGCAGGATGAACAGCCTCCTGCCCTCAGAAAGCTCACAGTTCAAACCAGAGATCTTAAGCCAGGGATCAAAGAACTGGTTTCCTTGGCCCCCACAGCATTAGAAAAAATGTTCAAACTGCAACCAAGATGTCCTTCAGGAGGCGAATGGATAAACAAACTCTGATACATCCTTACCGTGGATTATTATTCAGTGAACTACCAAGACACAAAAAGACATGGGGGCATCTGGAATACATATTGCTAAGTGAAAGAAGGCAGTCTCAAAAGGCTGCATGCTACATGACTCCAACTTTATGACATTCTAGAAAAGGCAATAAGAAAACAGTAGTTGCCAGGAGTTGGGGGGTGGGAGAGAGGGAAACACAGGCAGAGCTCGGGGAGTTTTTAGGGCACTGCAAGTTCTGTTGCTTATGATATTTTCAGCAACAGAAGGATTAACCTGGACATAACCTCACTGCAGGTTAAGGAGTATACTGAAAGCTTATTGCTTTTGCACCATTGTAAAGTCAAAAAAGTGTACGTTGAACCATCATGAGTTGAGCCATTATAAGTTGGGAGTGTCTGTACTCTGTGTGATGCAAACATGTTGTTACACGTTTGTGAAAATCCATGGAATGTACAACATAAAGAAACCCTAATGTAAATGATAGATTTTGGTTGATAATGTTGTTGATAATATCCGATAATAATGGTAGTATGATAATAATGATGTTGATAATGTTGGTTCATTGATTGTGACAAAGGTATCACTCTAGTGTGGGACGCTGATGGTAGGGTAGGCTGGGGACAAGAGGGAGGAGGTGGGTACATATGGGAATTTCGTACTTGGAGCTTAATTTTGCTGTGGACATAAATCTGCTCTAAAAAATAGAGTCTGGCCAGGCGCAGAGGCTCACGCCTGCAATCCCAGCACTTTGGGAGGCAGAGGCAGGAGGATGGCTTGAGCCCAGGAGTTTGAGGTTACAGTGAGCTATGACTGCACCATTGCGCTCTAGCCTGGGTAACGGAGTGAGATCTTCTCTCTAAAAAAATAAATCAATAAAGTCTATTCATTAAAAAAGAAAAATGTTTGAATAGCCAACATATAAAATATAGAAAGCTGCAAATCCACATTTGCAGATTCTCTTGAAAAATCAGCCCTGGTGGTTCCAGCCCCAAGCAGGTGGAGATGTGCCTGCCTGGTTGGTTCTCACCTGGGGACAGATGGTCCTCGCTACTTGCTTCAGCGTAGTGTGTCATCTGCCTGGGTCCTGGAGCACTGGAGTTCGAGCTTTATGGTCTAGATCATGGTTCTCGATAGGGGGAGACTGCTCCAGGGACACTGGCAATGTCTGGGGGCAGTTTTGGTTGTTATTACTGGGAGTGGGGGCCACTGGCATCTAGCGGGTAGAGGCCAGGGATGCTTGAAATGTCCTGAAATGCACAGCTCAGCCCACACTCTGTCACTGGTGCAACCCCGATGCAGGGATCCGGTTCTCATCCGGGGAACTTTTAAAAACATTAATGCTCTGCCACCCCCAGCAATTCTGATCTAAATGACAGAAGGGTGCTGCTGGGACAAAAGGATTTTGAAAACCTCCCAGGGTTAAGTCGGATGTGCAGCCCAGTTTGAGAACTACTGAAAGGTTTCTTGCATGGGTCAGGGCTTAAGATATCCAGGATTGTCATTCATTCATTCATTCATTTCTTCAATTATGCAGCCAGCCACTCACTGCTTCCTTCTCTCCTTGCATGGAGCTTTGGAGCTTGGTGAGTGAGCCAGACTCAGATCTCCCTGCCTTTAAAGAGCTCTGGGTTTAATAAGCAGTTCCTGACTCTTTCGGTTTATAACTTTGCAAACTTCGGTGTGCTTACAATCGCCCTGGGATCTTGTTCAAATACAGACCCTGATTCAGCAGGGCTGAGTGGGGCCTGAGACTCTGCATTTCTAACTGGCTCCTGGGTGGTATAGATGCTGCTCAGCTGAGAACCACACTCTGAGCTCCATCCTTGCTCAGGAGTCTGGAGAAAGACTGACCCAGAAAAACGCCAGTACCCCAGGGAATACATTCCTCCATAGCCTTTCAAATGAACGTCACCACGGCTCACGAATGCCTTACACCCCATCACTAACAAAGTTCTCAACAGATCTTCATAACAGCCAGGAAAGGGAGTCAGAGATTATTTTCCCAATGATCCCATTTCACCGATGAACAAACTCAAGTTCATGGAGGTGAAGTACCCAGCTTGGTGTTTAGCCAGTGCTAGAGGCAGAACTGACTCCCAATTCAGAAGTTTGGTTTCTTAAAGCCAGCTTGGCTGTGCTAATCAGCTAGGGCTGGCTTCATGGGACCCCGAGCTCAAAGGGTCCTGCACTTAGTTTAAAGTTATGTTATCATTACGCTGAAATTCTTAGTTTTTTTTTTTTTTAAGAGAAGGTGTGCCCAGGCTGCAGTGTTGTGGTGTGATTATAGCTCACTGTAACCTTGAAATCCTGGGCTCAAGGGATGCTCCCACTTCAGCCTCCTGAGTGGCTGGACTACAGGAGCGAGCCACCACACCTGGCCAAAATTCTTAATTTCTCAACACAGAGCCCTATACTGACATTTTGTACCGGACCCTGCAAATTCTGTAGCTGGTCTAACACATAGATTCTGAGACGCATTCACAGAGGCTCAGCATACACACCAAACTGAGAGCTAACAGTTCAACCCAATCCCTTCCTTTTCTAAGGCCATCAAGTACCTCAGAGCCATTGTGCTGATTCTTGGAGTCAAACAGACCTGGGTTTGTGTCCTGAGGCTGCCATTTACCAGTCGTGGGACCACAGGCTTGTGTATTTAAGATACTTTAGCCACTATTTCCTGTCGTATTTTCCATTTGCCTAGTTATAAAAGGAGGAGGTTGAAGGGTAGCCTTGATCTTGACAGCAAACAGCAATGACTGGGGGAGGGAAGCTTGATGGTCTAACTCAACTGGTCTGGGGTGGAGATGTGTTTAAAAGCGCCCCCCAGAGTGTCTCATGCTAAGCCAGGGTTAAGAGCCACCTTTGAACCTGCAGGAGTCTTCAGGCTCTGCCACATCTGGCTTGCAGAAAAATCTCAACCCTTCCTGCAGGTTCCAGCCAGCCTGGACACCTCTTTTTCCCCAGACCTTTGTGTCCTAAATCGCCACAGGGCTCCTGTCCTCCTCAGTTTTAGCTTTTCCAAGGTATGTGGATTCTGCCTGGGGGACTGGCCTGAGCCACCAAGGAATTCCTCCCTGGAAAGGAAATACAGCCCCATGTTCACACTAGGACAAAACAAAAGCCTATTTTGCTTTGCAAAGTAACTGCTTTCCAGAATAGCTTTTAAGGAAATAGGCTCTGGCATGTGGATAGGCAAAAATAGAATAAAACCGCCTGGCAAGTAGAGTATGATCCTGTTTGCATAAGAATGTGCTTTTAGGTCTCTAACCACACAGGTATAAATAAATAGAAGAGAGATCGGGAAGGGTGGCTGCCACCATGTTGACTGTAATCATCTCTTTTTTCCTTTGTGCTTGTCAGCTAGAGCTTTCAGTAAACATGAGAACCTACTTGCATCATTTGAAGAAGAATAAAGCTATTTCCATTCTGAGATAGAAGGGTAATTTACACCTAAGTAGGAGAAATGGTCACAAAGTTTGGGGTACTCCATCTTTTTTCTAAAGTTAAATTCTACCGTCCATGAAGTTTACTGGTGTGCTAGAGTCAATTAAAATACAAGGAGATGCACAAGAAACAGTCGCTCATGGTGAACCTTGTATAAAAATAGAACACATTCTAAGGAGGCCATTCGTCTTCCTTTAAAAAATGTTTTCTTAAAAAAATAATGTAAGAAGCATCTACCCTCCTGCCACTCCCCAGGGGCGCCCGGGTCCAGAGCTGAGGGAGGAGGCTGACCCCAAATCACCCCGCCCTGCAGCAGGTTCTGCTCCGTGGGAGGGATCCAGGGCCAGGGCTGGAAGATCCAGCACCGCCCGGCAGTGGGGAGAGAGGAGGGAGGGAAGGGCAGGGACACCGGTGTCACTTTCGCTGAACCTGATCGCAGCCCCCAGCAAGGCGGCCCTAATATAGATACTTAGCTGCTGCTCCCACTCCGCGTGCCAAGGGCAAGGAGGGAGGTCACAGCTGCGTGCGGCTGGGACATCTGGCCCTGCCGGCAGCGCCGACCCCCACCCGCACCCTCGCCACTGCCTACGCCCCTTGCCCAAGTTCACGCAGCCTTGACCCAAGAGGACCCCCGACCTTCTCTCTACGCACCCCTAGCACCTGTCCCCCTCCTCCCAACAAGCACGCTCCTTTCCTTCCCTCCCCCCCGCATCTGCTTCCCCTCCCCCAGCCTCGCCGTCCGGGGGCTTCTGCTCTCGGCACGCGCCCGCGTGGGAGAACCCCACGATCTCAGCACCTGCCTACTCCCCCGATGCAGTCCCTGTCTGTGCCTCCCTGTCTCCGCCATGCAGGGCTCCCCCTCCCCGTGACCCCCGAGTTTCCCGCCCGCCGCCCCACGATGCCAGCCCCCTCCAGCCCCCTGGCGGGGGATCACCTGGCTCATATTTGAGGTAGAGGATGGAGACGATGAAGTAGCTGAGGTCGAAGACGGGGAAGAGCGGCACCCGCGAGAAGCTGAGCGCCAGCTCGCCCAGGCTCAGAGCCGAGAGCAGGTCCATGGCGTCCGCCGGGTGCCACCCCGGGCCCCCGCCCGGTCCGTCCCGCAGCCCCGCGGCCCGGCAACTGCGCCCCCGCCGCTGGGCCCGCCCCCGCCCGCCAGGCGCCACCCCAGGCCCGGCCCCCGCGGGAGAGGAGGGGCGACGGTCCACCCCGGGACGGGTGGTGGGGCCGTCCAGTCCCACGGCGCTGACCTGTCGCGGGTCCCATGCCCTGTCCCTCGGGCTGTCACGACCCCATTCAGCAGGGGCGCGGTGTGGGGCTCCCTGGAAGGCGAGCGGGACAGGCGGGCTGTCCACTCGGGGGGCCCGTTCCCCACGGAGCCCACGAAGGTGGGACACCCGTCCCTGCCAGGCCGGACCAACCAGGGCTTTGTCGCCCTTGGGGCCCTATTAGGACCCCGTCCTCTGTGGAGCCCGGTCAGGACCCCTGCTCCCTCGTGGGACCCCATCAGTCAGCACCCCCATCCCCCGTGGAGGTCACTCAGGACCCCATCCTCTGTAGAGCCCAGTCAGGACCCTCTTGTCCCATAGGGTCCGTTCGGTCAGGACCTCTGTCCCCCGCAGGGACTGCTCGGTGGGGATCCCCGACTCCCGTGGGGCCCAGGAGGACCCCCTTTTGCAGCCCAGTCAGTTGGGGCGCCCGTGTCGTGGGAGTCCACTGCGTCAGGACCCCGCCTCCCGTGCAGCTCAGGGGTTAGGGGGCTCCCCTTTCTCCAGTAGCCCAACTCGGGACCCCAGCGAGCGAAAAGGAATTGCTGCCCGGCTAATCCTACAGCACGCGAAACCTCACGCATGCGTGGCACGCTTCTAACGAGTGACCCAATCCCGCCCCCGGAGGCTCCGCCCCAGTGTATGACGTCACACGACCGCCCCGTCCCTTCTTCCCTGGCGCACCAGGCCTCCTCAGCGAGGAGGGGCGCTCGCTCTCTCCTCCGGGGCCTGGCCTGCAGAGGGCGGGACCCTCCCTGCCTCGGCCTTCGATTGGCCCAGCCGCCGACAGTGTTGCTTCGGGATTGGTCGGCTCTTTCTCCTCTCCCCTCCCTCCCCGGGGCTTCCGCTTCCGGTGTTTTACGGACGCGTCGGCCGTAACGATGATCGGAGACATCCTGCTGTTCGGGTAATTAGGGGCACTAGAGGCTGGGAAGAGAGAGCCAGACAGGGCAGGGGCAGCCCTAGTAACCGTAATTGTCCCTCTGCAGGACGCTGCTGATGAATGCCGGAGCGGTGCTCAACTTCAAGCTGTGAGTAGGCCGCGCGGGACTGCGGCTCCTCCCGGGGACCCGTGGCCCCGCCCTCGCGAGCGTGAGCTCGCCCCCCGCGTCTCGAGCCCCGCCCCACGTCCCAGCCCGCCCTCTGGCCACGCCTCCAGCCTGGTTTATCCTTCTCAGACTCCGACCCCTCTGACACCCTGGGACTTAAAATCCGGACCCTCGGTTCCCCGGGGGCCCCTCTCCTCACATCCCTTGAGAGCCTCAGTCCCATCCCCCAAGAAGCAGCCTTACCCTGGACGCCCAACCCCACACCCGGCACCCTCCGACCGACCGCCCTGTAAAATGTCCGTGGCTGCAGGCCTGGCTGCGATTGGCGGGGCAGGTGGTGGCCCAGAGAGGGACGTGGGGCTGTCCGAGGTCACACAGCAAGTCAGCGGCAAGGCTAGGGCTGAATCTTAGGGTTTGTGGCCCTCTGCGCTGAGTGTCAGGGTCAGGGGACTGAGTGGTTTTTATGTCTCATTGAAAGTGGCCATTGTCTGCTCCTCTTTTTAGGAAAAAGAAGGACACGCAGGGCTTTGGGGAGGAATCAAGGGAGCCTAGCACAGGTAAGGTCTTTTTTCTGGACCCTGGAATTGCACGGCCACTTCAGAGAAGACAATTCTTTCTTACCAAGCCCTACCCTGGTTTTATTTTTACTGGGGGGGGGAGGGAGAGGGAGAGAGGTGGGCCTGAGGTGAGCTGTTTCTTCTGCCCACCACTGTCGCCTACTTCTTTCTCCCGCCAGACCTTTCCTATACGTCAGCACTCACATCACTTCCTACAGTCGTAATTTTCTGTTCTGTGTGCTCTCATCTGGCTAATGTCTGCTCCTCACACTTGACTGTCAGCTCCAGAGATGGGGCCTTACTTGTTATGGTTCATCCTGTGTACCTGAAGTATCAGTACTCACAATGTCTGTGGATGAATCAATGAATGAATAATGCACAGCAAGTTAGATGCCAACATTAGATTTTGAATAAATCAGGAGATTTTACACAAAAATTTATATGTCTAACTTTTCTTGAAAAATTGGAACATCCTGCCACTTGAGATTCAGGAGAGTGCTTGGCATCTGTTGAGTGGGATTGAGAAGCAGGACCCTGTTGAGGCAGAGCCTTTGGACTCTGCCTTGTCCCAGCCCCAACCCCTTCATATTTATGTCATCTCACCTGCCTGGGCCCTGGGGGTCCCAGAATTTACACTTCTGCTGAATTTATTCATGTGACTATTTGGAGTCTAATAGGACCTGTACATAATTATGGTAGCCATTCATTCATTTGTTCATTCACCATACCTTTACTGAGCACCTACTACATGCTGGCCACTGTGCTGGGTGCTGGGATGCAGCAGGAATAAGACAGATGTAATGGAACTTACCATGGGGTGGGACAGATGGTTCCTACACAAGGAACAGATGGTGAAGAAGGTGATGTCAAGTGAGGATGGCACTGATGGAGTCACAGGATAGTGATGGGGTTGCTGCTCCTGCTGGGGTGTGTGGAGGGAAGGCCCTTTGAGCAGGTGGCATCACAGTCAGGGCAGTAGGTGCCATGATGGACCCTTGCACGAGGACGGGGGGAACCCTGAGAAGCAGAGGTTTCGAAGACCATAAAACAGCTCCGCCTTATTAGGGGCTTGCCCCCAGGTGGCTGCCCTGTCAGGTGCTTCCTACTAGTGTTTCATTCCACCTCCATCCCTAGTAGGTAAAGATCACTTTCGCATCTTACAGAGGAAGACACTGAGGCTTAGAAATATGGCTTGACTTGCACGTGGCCACATAGCAAATCAGTGACAGAGTCAGAATCAGGACCTGGGTTTTGCCGACTCCAGAGATTGTACACTCAATCACTGGTCCCGCCACCCATCCAAACATTCATTCTGCAGCCATGTACTACTTAAACACCACATGGAAGGCACAATCCCAGGCCCTGGGCCTGCACTGTACAGTCTGAATTGGAGCTTTGGTGGGCAGGAAATTTTGTACAAGGGCTCAGAAGTGGCAGGAGAGTCAAATGACAGGGACGGCAGGAAGGGCACCTGTGCTCTGATTAGGAGGTTCCTGCACGCTTCTGGGTCTGCCTTTTCCCAGCATGCTTTGCTCTCCCTCAAAGTTCCTTCCAGCCAGGACTTTGCACCTGCTGCTTTTCTCCTCTATCTTCTCTGCCTGGCTGATCCCTAGTAGCTTAGTGGCTGCATTTGTTACGAGCTTCATGTGTGCCAGGCACTGTGTCTTCCCAGCCACCCATCACCCCAATTTCCACATGAGGAAACAGGTGTAGACAGTCAAGGGACTGGCCCAGGTCCCCTGTGCAGAAGGGCAGAGCTGGGACTTCATTTGCCATAAACTGTGCACATTTGAAGTTGGAGCTTGGAGCTCAGGTGCTTCCCCCAGAATGGCTAATTCTCACCCCATGCTGCATTCACATACTAGATTGGGTCCTCTCCATGTGTGTCCCCAGGACACCTTACTTTCCCGCCAGAGTCATAATGGTGAATAATCATGTGTGATTACTTGTTTAGCATTTGTCCTCCCCACACACTCCTTAGGTTAAGGACTCCTGTCTTGTTCCTCCCTGTATCCCTCATACGTGGCGCCTGCCTAGAATGAGTAACCTTCAGTCAGCATCTGTTGGTGGCCCATTTTCATGATCCCGGGCTGGAAGAAGAGTCTTGCTGAGCAGCGCCTCTCAGACATCCTGGGGATGGACCCAGCTCTTAACATTTCTAATCCATGCTAGACCAACACTGTGCACAGCTTGTGCTGCGTGTGTCTAACCCTGTTGGCTGGATAATACTAGACTTGTCTAAACTGTGTTCAGCAAGACTCTGTGAAGTGTCTCATAAAATATTCCTTTGAATTTTTTTTCTCATTAAAAAATGTAAAAACCATTCTTAGCTCACAGGTCATAGAAAAAGAGGTGGCATTACAAGCTTGGGTGGTGCAGTGATGTCAGGTTGCTGGAAGTTTGTGAACTTGTGCTCTGTTTTCTGTACTTACCAAACAGCCCCATTCTGCAGATGCTTTGAGTAGCAGCCTTGTAGGTCACCTAGTCTGGACTCATTCTTTTCATTCTGGAGGCATAGAGAGGGAGCATGATCAATTTGAAACCCTGGAGAAAGGTTCTGGAACCCAGGACTCTGGAGTCTTAATGTACCAAATTGGCTCCCCTTAGAGGGGTTTCTGTTCCTTGGCATCAGAGGGAACCAGAGTAATTCACCAAAGCAAACTCCTTTTACTTGCCTGAATTAGGATGCTTTTAATTGCAAACCCAGCTTTTGGTTAAAGTAAATTAAAAGTTACAAGGGTAGGCCGGGCGCGGTGGCTCAGGCCTGTAATCCTAACACTCTGGGAGGCCGAGGCAGGCGGATTGTTTGAGCTCAGGAATTCGAAACCAGCGTGAGCAAGAGCGAGACCCCATCTCTACTACAAATAGAAAGAAATTAATTGGACAACTAAAAATATATAGAAAAAATTAGCCGGGCATGGTGGCGCATGCCCGTAGTCCCAGCTACTCGGGAGGCTGAGGCAGAAGGATCGCTTGAGCCCAGGAGTTTGAGGTTGCTGTGAGCTAGGATGATGCCACGGCACTCTAGCTCGGGCAACACAGTGAGACTCTGTCTCAAAAAAAAAAAAAAAAAGTTTCAAGGGTAGAATTGGTCTTTAGGTACCTCTGGGTTCGAGTCTCAAACCAGCCCTCCAGCACCCAACTCTCCAGCTCTCAATTCTCCCTTCTGTGCTGATTTCACTATGGGTCCAGCTTGTGTTGGCAAGATGACCCTAGAGCAGGGGTGGCACATTTTTCTGTAAAGGGCCACACAGTAAATATTTGAAGCTTTGTGGACTATATAATGGATGAGTGACGGCTCAACTCTGCTGTTGTAGTACAAAAGCAGCCAGAGATGATATGTCAGTGAAGGGGCATGACTATGTGCTGATAAAACTTTGTTCACACACACTGAAATTTGAATTTTATGTAATTTTAGTGTCTCATGAAATATTCTTTTGATTTTTTTTTTTTTTTTGGTCATTAAAAATTTTAAAAACCATTCTTAGCACAGGCCATAGAAAAGAGGTGGCAGGGGCTGGATTTGGCCTGTGGGCCATGGTTTGCTGACCCCCTCGCTAGAGCCCTAAGCTTACATCTTCCCAGCCCAGCAAGCCTGGCAGAGAGTGAATGTCTCTTTCCTAGTAGTTGGGGCAAAAGTCCCAGGGCAGACTCTCATTGGGCAGACTTGGGTCATATGCCTCTCCTGGAGCCAGTCAGAGGCAGAAGGGTGTGGTACTCTAAGAGGATTGGTCAGTGGTAGCCACGGCCTGAGTGCTGAGGGTGGGGGAGCCGAGGAGACCCAAGTGAAAAATCATGCTGTCACTGAAGGTGGGAGCAGTGGGTGCAGGGCTGGCAGAAATCACAAAAGCCCACTACAGCAGTGACAGTAAGAAAGGAATGTTTGCTGTGCTATAAAAGTACTTTCTGACTTTCCAGGTGACAACATCCGGGAATTCTTACTGAGCCTCAGATATTTTCGAATCTTCATCGCCCTGTGGAACGTCTTCATGATGTTCTGCATGATTGTGTAAGTCTGGCCTGTCCATCCCCTTCAGTGTCATCTCAGCATCCTTCTCCGGAATGACCCAGCTGACAGTCACTCTCTGTCCTTTCAGTCTGCAGTCTTGTATCATGCTTTCTGCTTTCAAAATAAGGGCTCTCCAAGCGTGTGGGGAACTGGAATCTGAAGGGGTTAAACTACATTGCCGAGGTCCCCTCCGGACCTGGCTGGAGCTTTGATTGGAACATTGTGTTCTCCAAGTTCCAGCTATGCCTGGCACCTTTGCAAAAAGATGCCTTCCCTGAGCCCGTGGCCCTGTCACCTCCTGCCAGCTCTGCTGTGCTTAGTATATATTTGGCGTCTGCTAACATGGAAAATGTGGCTTAAATGTCCAGCCTTGCTGGAAGCCAACAGAAATGTATTTAGACTTTTTGTTTTTATTCCTGCTTTGATTTTCTCATTAGGCTGAGAAAACCTAAGGCAGTTGCTTTTCCATCTGGCATTGGGGTTGTAATTTTGATCCTGCAGTTAATGAATCGCGAGAGTCACAGTAAATGAACTTGGAGAAAAATACAATGGGAGAGGCTGGTGTTCTTGGCGTCACTGGGTCCACCTCCACATACTTTCCCCCAAAAGGAACAGGACACAAAGTTGGCTGTCCTGAGTGTTGGCGATCCTTGTGCCAGCCTAGTGGCTGTTTGAGGAGGTGATTCCAGGACTTAGGAGATCTGGGAAGGAGGGGGTTTCGCTGTGTCTCTAGAAAATCTTGTAGAGCCCAAAATGCATACCATGATGTATTCCCAGAGAGGCCCTTCTCGAGGTGTTCTTCCTGGCCAGAGAGGATTTGGGAGCATTGGGTGAAGCCAGCCCAGGAACAAAAGGCTTAGAGGAGGAATTTGCAGAAAAGTATAGGAAGTGTAACCAGGACTCAGAGAAAGTAGAACAGCGTTGGATGGTTCCTCCAGCCTTCTGTCTCCCGAGGTTTCTGTTCATTCACAACTGTCCATCCTGGGCTGTGCTCTGCAGTTGCCATGGTCCTTGCCCTCCACCAGTGCACAGTATAACAGGTGGGACCTAGACACCTGTTGGGAAAATGAGCAAATAGGAAACAGTCTGATACGAGGTGGCAAATTGGGAGGGGGTCTCCTAGTGCAGAGGTGGCTAGGGAAAGGCTCTCCGAGAAAGGCGCCATTTAAATCAAGACCTAAAGGATGAGAAGAAGTTTGTCATTTGCAGATCTGGAGAAAAGCGTGGCAGCACAGGAAGTAGCATGTGCAAAGGTCCTGGGGCAGGGAAAAAAATTTGTGTGTTTTCCTTGTTCTCTTCTTTCCTGTATATCTGTTTCATCGTCTTCTCTTGTCTGACCAACTTCCTTCACTCCCTCGTCTGCTGGCTGTCACCAGGATGGCAGCATTGGGCTCTTTGACCTCCTAGCTCAGCTCCCCAAGACCAGCGTGGTCAGTAGCCCAGGGTCCTGATTTTGTTTCCTGGGGCAGAGTCTGATTGGTCTACCATGGTATCACCCAGATTCAGTTGGGCGGAGGGTTCTTGACTCCACCATGACCACTTAGGTCAGAGCTCAACAAACTACAGCCTGTGGGCCATATTTACCCATGGTCTGTTTTTAGTAATGAACTTTTATTGTCATACAGCCACACCCATATCTGTGGCTGCTTTTGTGCCACAGCAGTAGTGTTGCGTGACAGAGACTGCTTGGCCCGCAAAGCCTGGGCTGTTTACTCTGTGGCTCCCTACTGAGAAAATGTGTCAACCGCTGACCTAAGCCAACTCTTACCTTGAGGGCTTGGGTGGGGGAAGATTCTCTCAACAAAGGGCTCTCTCAGGGTAGCCATGACTGGCTTTCCCAGGGTATTAAAAAACTGGAAATCACCTAAATGTCCAAGAACAATGAAAAGGTCAGGTAACTTGAAAGATGCTTGTGTGACCAGCTGTCACGATGCCATCACTGACGATGTGCTGGAAGATTCTGTCTACTCGGGGAAATGTTTCGAAAGTGAAGAAGGCCAGATGACACCTGTGTGCACAATCTAACTTCATCTGTGTGACTTGCATGCAGTAAACACTGATTGAGTTCCTGAAGTACATGGGGGAAATGCTGTTCAGCGAGGGAATTGAAAGGATCCACTCCAGATGGTGTAAGGAGGTGATCGTGCTGCGGTTGCTGAGGACGTTGGCCGGGTCTGGGGCATGGTTCACTATTCCCTGCACCCACTTTTGTATAGTTTGAGCTGAGATACTTTGGAAATTTAAGAAGTCATGAAAAACTTGAAATATGAGGAGAAACATCCCTGAGTGTGTATGGATCCATGGTACTGGTATCTGTACTGGTATCTGTAACTTCCTTAGAAACATATCAAAAATATGTTTGGTGGATAAATGGTATGTGGTAGAGTGCTAATTGCAGAACATAGGCAGTAGGAATGTGGATGTTTACTGAACCATTCTTTTAACTCTTTTATGTGTTGAGATTTTCATAGTAGAATATTGGGAGGAAAATTTAGGGAGAAAATGAGGGTGTCAAACCATGAAGAGGGATTTACAAATAAAAAGTGGAAGTCTGTCTTCACAAGTCAGTATTTCATAGCATATTTGCAGGATTGTGTAACCACCATCTCTGTCCACTTCCAGAACATTGTCATCATCCCAGAAAGAAACTCTGTCCTCATTAGCCGTCGCTCCTCACTGCCCCTCCCCCAGCCCTGATAACCATAATCTGCGTCCTGTCTCTGTGGATTTGCCTGTTCTGGACATTTCGTATCAGTGGACTCATGTACTGTGTGGCCTTTTGTGTCCGGCTTCTCACTCAGCACCACGTTTTCAAGGTTCATCCACGTGGTAGCAGGTGTCAGAGCTTCATTTTTACGGCTGAGTAATAATCCATTGCATGGATATACCCCAGTTTGTTACCCATCTGTCAGTTGATGGAGAGTTGGATGTTTCCATTTTTTGGCTGTTAGGAATAATGCTGACGTGAACATTCACGCACAAGTTTTTGTGCAGACTCATGTTTTTAATTCTCTCACTGGTATACCTAGGAGTGACATTGCTGGGTTATATGGTAACTCTATGTTTATCCTTTTGAGAAACACTAGACCATTTTCCAAAGCAGCTGTAGCATTTTACGTTCCCACCAGCAGTGTGTGAGGGTTACAGTTTCTCCATATCCTGGCCAACGCTTCGGACTGTTAGTCTTTTGATTGTAGCCATCCTAGTGTGAGGTTTTGATTTGTATTTCCCTGATGGCTAATGATGTTGAACATCCTATCATGTACTTATTGGCCATTGTACATCCACTTTGGGGAAACATCTGTTAAGATATTATTAATAATGCCTTGCCCATTTTTTAATTGGATTATTACCAGTTTTTAAGAGTTGTTTGTGTATTCTGGATACCAGTACCTTATCAGATGTATGCTTTGCAAAGTATTTTCTCCTATTCTGTGGGTTTTTTCATTTTCTTGATGGTGTCATTTAAAGCCCAGATGTTTTTAATTAAATAAATAAATACATATATCTATGTTAGAGGTAGGGTTTCGGTATGTTGCCCAGGCTGGTCTCAACCTCCTGGCCTCAAGTGATCTTCCCATCTTGGCCTCCCAAAAGTGCTGGGATTACAGGCGTGAGCCACCACACCTGGCCCAAAAGTTTTTAATTTTGATGAAGTCCAATTTATCTATTCTTTCTTATAGTCACTTATACTTTTGGTGTTATAGTTAGGAAATCATTGCCTAACCCAAGGTCACAAAGATTTATGCCTAAGTTTTCTTCTAAGAGTTTTATAGTTTGAATTCTGATAGTTAGATCTATGATCCATTTTGCATTAATTTTTGTGTATTGTGTGAGGTAGGAGTCCAAGTTCATTCTTTCACATGTGGAAATCTAGTTGTTTCTGCACCGTCTGTTACTATTTTTTCAGAAAGCCTTATTAATGAGTTTAGATTTGTGGAAATGTTGCAAAAATCATACAGAAAGTTCCTGTATAGATCTTTTTTTAAACAGCTCTATGGTTTTCCTCCATCAGGCTTTGCTGTAACTTACATACCCACTCCCAGACTTGACGGATGTTTATATTGTTTCCAGGTTTGTGCTGCTCCACAGTTTTTTCAGTGAACAGGGTTAACTGTAATCATTTGTTTATTCAAAGGTCTTTTTTTAATTTATGAAAGTCATCACAGACTTGCAATAATGGGCTTAATTTATGCTACAGATTCATATCAAGTCTATACTTTCTTAGAAGAGTCACTTAAGTCTGTAGTTCAGTATTAAGTATATTTACATCTTGTGCATCACAACAGCTACTTTTAAAGTCAGAAAATGATGGAAAATCATCTAAATAACAGTCACGTAAAATAATCTCTACCAGTATTTTTAGAGCAATAACTTCCCATCCTCACGGACATTTCTGCTCTCTGACTTTCCCAGGCTCTTTGGATCTTGAGTCCCAGATACACAACAAGGAACTCACCTTGCTGGACGCCGAGTCTCTGTTCCTCCGTTCCTGACGACTTTGAGAATGTTTTTGACCGGAAAACCGATGACCTTCCTAGAAAACCGAAGCTTGTGGTGGGTGGAAAAACTTTTGCCAAGATGTACACGGTCTCCCAGCCACTTCACTATTTTCAAAGATATTTTCCCTTTGGTCTCTGAATTGGAATGCTGTCTCCGCAAGGGGTTTCAGGAGGGTTTATGTGAGGGGCTGTGATAAAATTTCATTCCTGCTAGATAAAAGAACGTGGCGAGATCGTTTCCTCATATTGGAATCCCTCCTGTGCCAGACTTTCACAAGAAACCTGTTTCTGGATATTTCTTGGTTTATTTTTAATAACCACCCTTTTGGTTAGAATAATACAGATTTTAAGAAAATCATTTGTATCCAGGAATCTGAGCAGAAGGCTTGGATTTTAAGTTTAACACAGCCTCGTTTTTGGACAGTGTTTATAAATTACGAGGACATTCCATGTTGCTTGTTGAGTCTGACAGCATCTGGGCCCACCCAGGGAACCAAGTTGTGTCCAAATTCCTCCCCCATCCGGACAGGGTCTATTTGGCCGCTCAAGTGCAGCTGATGTCATCCCCAGGACTTTAAGGAACAGGTCACCTGCAACAGGGACCGGCCTTCCTGTTCACACACTAAACTATTAGCAAGAGGGATGAGATAGTTCCAGGTGAAGTGTTACTGATTTCCACAGAAGAGTTCAGAACAGTGGGCAGGGTGTGCGGAGGTGGTGGGAGAAATTTTGCTTTGCCTCGAAGCCCTTTGTTAAATAAAGTAACTCTGGAGGCCATGAATTGTATAGTCACAAGAATGAGGGTGATTTTATTATGTGGTGATATTGGGACCACGTTCCAAAAGCCTGCGTTTTGGAGTCAAGGATAGAAATAACAGCATTTTCCCAGAAGCTTCTTTGAAAGGGAGTCCTGGTTTCATCGCCAAAGTGAAACGCAGGTGGTCGGCGCTGAATCCCACAGCTGTGCGATTTGTTTGTTGTGGTTTTGGAAATCCTGACTTGTAAGTAAACCTGGAGGGAGGAAAAAGTAAATATGCAGGCTCTTAGAACTAAGTAGCCTTGAAAATAAAACTCATTTCTAAAAAAAAAAAAAAAAGAAAGGACTTTTCGTTCATACATTTTTTTTAACCAAGAAGTCGTCGTCCAACTTGAGAATTACCCTGTGGGAAACACCTAGGATTCATTTTGGAGGCTGTCAAAATGTCAAAAGAGTCGGTGGCAGATTTTTTTCTCTGTTGGATTTTGCTCAATAAATGACGGGCCCGAAGACCTGAACTGCTCCTGGAAGTATTGTGAGAATCAGTGATAATGGTGGGATTTTGCTAGACCAGGGTCAAATCCAGTTCTCCTTCGTCACTTCTGTAATTTATTTCCTTGTCAAATCCGGGTGGAGCATCACCCCGTGGTTTGTCAACAGCAGGGATTGGAGCTGCTGGATTGAGCTACGCTGGGCCTGTGTCCTTGTCAGAAAGAGCAGGCGTGCCAGGATCCTGGCTGGGTCCCTCGCGAACGGGATGAATGGTGTGAAGAAACCTTTCTGCCTTATTCAGACTGGCGCTGAGGTTTCAATGAGGCGAAGCATTTGTTCATTATGGGGATGAATTGTGCTCTTAGAAGAGAATGCTTCATTGAGGTTTTGTTTCAATAGTTGTATTTTTCTCCAGAGAACTATTATCTCATTGTTAGTAATAGCAGCATGGCTTTTTCAGATGCCTGTTGGAGGCTGATGTACGTTTCAAAAATTGAATTTCATGGATGTGTCTCTTTAGGAAGCTTTTCAGGAATCTTCATTGGCACCAAAGGTTATCAAATTTTGAAGTTTGGGTGCCTAGTGTCTCCCAGCGTTTAAGTGTTCATGTTCTGGGTCAGTTAAGTACGGGTTCTAATCCCATGTCTGCTCCTTCCTGGTGGGCCTTGGCTAATTGCTTCTCCTCTCAAAGCCTCAGTTTTCACATCTCTGAAATGGGCCTGCAGGTCACGCCTGCTTGGGGTTGTAAGGTTCAGCAAACGGGAATGCAGGCCGGGTGCCTAATAGCACCTGTCGCCGCGCCTGCGTCCCTGGGTGCTTTTTCCCTCCTCTTACCCACTTTCTTGTGTGCAGTCTGCACACACACCGCTAAACAGTGGTCTCACCATTTTTAAACGTTGGAAACAATTTCCATCGTGATGAACCTTTTCTTGTCTTTACATTCCTGTCCGGCGTTTTCCTTCTTCCTGCCTGTCTGTATGTTCCAACAGTGGATAAGGCAGTGTGGGTTCTCCTGTTTGCATTTCGACATCGTTTCCTCCGTACTTTCTATGCGGACAGGGAGACTTGTTGGTTCTCATTTTTAGTCGTGGTAGCAGTGTCAATAAATCTGTCCTGAAGCTTGACTCTCTTGCTGCACTTGAGTTTGTACTCTGTCCACTGTTACAGAGGCTGCTTCTGTCATCAGCGCTGCAACCTTTGTTGGCTTCTCTCATGGAGTTATTTCCTTGGGCACATAACCCTGATGGGGTGTGTAATACTGTTAGGCGCCATCAGTGTGGCTTTTGTTTGTTTTACTTTGAAAGGTGTTTGTTTTTTCTTACTACCAGTGCATGTTCATTGTAGAAAAATTACAAAACACAGATTTGCTGGAAGGAAAAAAGTTACCCACAGTCACATTTCCCCCAGAAAGCATCACCCTGGGCATACATCCTTCCAGACTTTTCTCTGTGCATAA